TGATTAGAAGCCTTGGCACACTGAGTTGAGGGTTTAAAGTCTTGGGTCATAAGAACCCCGAGATCTTTCATCTGCGGTACCTGCTGCATGGGAGCCTCATTTAACGAGTATGTCCCATCCCTCGTTGTTTGGAGCCGGCACTTGCTTAGATTCCAAGGTAAGTCCCACTTGACTGACCATCCATGGACTACCTCTATGTCCCTTTGTAGGTCTAATCCTGTCATTTTTACATCATCAGCGAACATGAAACACGGATTTTGAAGATCCTGTGCAAGATCGTTGATAAATATGAGCAAAAGTAAGGGGCCTAGCACTGAGCCCTGGGGGACCCCACTTGTAACCATCTCCTGGTTAGAAATGTAGTTGCCCACCTTGACCCGAAAGGTGCGATTACTCAAAAACGCTACAATCCAGTCCCTGGCTCCATCCGTTATGCCTAGGCTCCGAACCTTGAAGTCCAACAACCGATGGCTGACAGAGTCAAATGCTTTACAGAAGTCTACGTAGCAGACTTCTACATTTTTCTCCTCATCCATTCGTTGAGTAACTTCATCTAGGAACACAAGCAAATTCGTAAGACATGATTTCCGCTGCACAAAGCCATGTTGTGTCGGTGTCAGGAGTCGATTGCTAGTCAGATGTAGGTAAATCTGCCTTCTGATCAGCCGCTCCAGGCACTTGCACAGAACTGACGTTAGGCTAACAGGTCTATAGTTTTCTGCTTTGTGTTTCGGTCCAGCCTTGTGCAATGCTACCACGGTAGCTGTACGCCAGTCCTGGGGTAGCGTGGCAGTTTGCACTGATTCCCTAAAAAGTACAGTCATTGGCCCGGCTAGCACATCGGCCAGTGGCTGCACTATGGCGGGATGTATTCCATCTGAACCTGTTGACTTATGCTTGTTGAGCACCTGGAGTTACCGCTGTACATCTGTTTCACAGATGGCAATTTCGGATAACTCTGGCGTATCAGCTACCCCTGCTAAACCCGGGTTATCATAGTCGATCAGGGTCCTATACACGCTGTTGAAGAACTTAGTTGGGGTTTCCGCTTTATCGCGATTACCCGTAGCTATGCCTTCATCGGATAAAGCCAGTGCTCCTACACGCTCCCGCGTGCGTGCGTTGGCTTGTACGTACGCATAGAAGCTTTTGGGTTCCCTTTGATACCTCGGGCTAAGTTAAACTCAAATTCATATTTGGCACTCCTTTGGAGGTCTTGAGTTCGGTTACGCGCCCGCTTGTAGTCACTCCAGCCTTGTTGAGTGCCGTAAAGCTTAAAGCGATCCCAG